CACTGTTTTCTCAGGCCATAGCAGAGCTGGATTAGAAGTGGAGCAACCAGGACACGAACTGCACCCATATGGGATGCTGGCACTTCAGGCGGTGGCTTTATCTGCTACGCCACAGCACCGGCCCCCCTTGATGGGAGGATTCTTTATCTTTATCATTTTATTTTTTTTTTTATTTGACAAGTAGAGTTACAGACAGTGAGAGATAGAGACAATGAGAAAGGTATTCCTTCCGTTTGTTCACTCCCCAAATGGCTGCTATGGCCGGAGCTATACTGATCCGAAGCCAGGAGCCAGGTGCTTTTTCCTGGTCTCCCACGTGGGTGCAGGGCCCAAGGACTTGGGCCATCCTCCACTGCCCTCCTGGGCCACAGCAGAGAGCTGGACTGGAAGAGGAGCATCCGGGAATAGAACCGGCGCCCATAGGGGATGCCGGTGACGCAAGCAGAGGATTAACCAAGTGAGCCACAGCACTGGCCCCCTTGATGGAGTTTTAAGATATCTTTTTTTGCTAATGATTTCTAATTTTAATCCATTATCATTGCAGAAAATGTATGTTAGTGAGTTGTTTGTGTGAAACAATTCTTTAATTTTTTTTTTTTTTTGACAGGCAGAGTGGACAGTGAGAGAGAGAGACAGAGAGAAAGGTCTTCCTTTGCCGTTGGATCACCCTCCAATGGCCACCGCTGCAGCCGGCGCACCGCGCTGATCCGATGGCAGGAGCCAGGATCCAGGTGCTTTTCCTGGTCTCCCATGGGGTGCAGGGCCCAAGCACCTGGGCCATCCTCCACTGCACTCCCTGGCCATAGCAGAGAGCTGGCCTGGAAGAGGGGCAACCGGGACAGAATCCGGTGCCCCAACCGGGACTAGAACCCGGTGTGCCGGCGCCGCAAGGTGGAGGATTAGCCTATTGAGCCACGGCGCCGGCTCACAATTCTTTAATTTTGTTAATATTTGAATTTTAGCCTAAACGTGGCCTATATTGAGAAGTATTTCATATTCATTTGAAAAGAATATATATTCTGCTGTTATTTAGTGCAGTGTTCAATATATGGCAAATGACACACACTTTGTCATAGTATAGGAAGATACTTCACAAATTTTCAAAGAAAATATAGCTATCATAAGCTTAATTTGGTGGAAAATATTTTGAAACCCATACATAGAAGGGGATCTTAAGTGAGTTCCTGGACTATGGATTTTGAAGAAATTCTGGGGACATATTTGCTATAATTTAATTCCCACAGCCAATTCAAAAACCATACAGTTTTTAAATTATAATGTGAAAGGTCATGAGAAGATGGTTGGATTCATCATATGTTATATAATTACAGCACATATATACCACTCTACTAAAACGGTTTCATATGATTTAGTCACTGTTAGCGCTGCTAAAAATGTAATTCACTTGATAATATGTCTACCAACTCTTTGATTGTAGATATTTGACTATGCAAAATCTAAGGCTAACAGTAAGTAAAGCTCTTCAGAAGTATGGTAGCCTTTGCAAATTGTTTGGAATTAATTTGTTTTGAGTAAACGGAAATTAGTCTGTTAAATTAAGCTTATAAAACAAGGATTATGAAGGGGTATGAGACCATCTCACAAGGGTAGCTTAAAACCCACACATTTGTGTGATTCAAGAGAAGAACTGTCCTTTCAAAGTGATCTTATTCCTTCTAATTGCCTGGGCTTTGTGCCTCCTAATGTGATTTGAAGATTGGCAAAGAATAAATATATTTAAAATCTTATTCATTAGAATGCTAGACTCATCCATCAGCAGATTGATAAGGTCTGAGACAAAGCATTCTGCCCGACACACAACCTGTAGGGAGATTTTCCTGTGGCTATAATGCAGAACACCTGACAGATGTGTGAGCCACCGAGCACAGCAGGAGGTGCTCATAAACACCATAAACTGGCATTCAACATGATAGGGATTATTTTTCTTTTGTCTGCCTGAAGTTATATGGCCCATAATCAATAAAGGTTTGAGGCTTAACTAGCTAACACATAGGGTGTGATATCATTTATAGGCAATATTTCTAGTGCTTCCAAGTTTATAACGTGTCCCAGATGCTGAGATACTTTCTGACGTGGCTGAAAAACGTGCTATCTAGGCTTCTCTTTTAGGATTGGAACTGGTTCAAAGAAGAGTACCAACTTCTTTGTTGCTTTCCTTATTTTTTTTTTTTTTCAGGGAGTAAAGATAATGTATCATCTGTTTCTATTCTTGATAGCTCCTTAAAGATGCAATGAGCTTTACCAAATCCATGCTCATTTTTAAATTCCACATGGTGGTGAGACACTCTTTTAAATTTCCAATAACAACGTGTCTGACTCAGAAAAAGAAAGGCAGAAATGAACATACGCCATCTGTAGTTTTTCAAATTTTACTATGTGTCCTAAGGGATGTGGATAGATGCTATTAATTTAAATGTCATGTTTGCATAGAATGAAGTGCAGCAATTTTAAACTTGGCTTTATTAAAGTTTCTTTTTTAGCTCAAGTTTCTCATTTGCCAAACAGCAATAGGAGCAAATGCTCACTGATAAAGTTTATTTAGGTCCTTTGGGGAGCAGTAACAAACATACGGGCACAATACTTTCAAAATAGCATATTTTATTGCATTTATAAATTATTGCGTGACCAAAATCTTCTTGTAGTCTACAATTAAGTAGGGCATTAACAATAAGAAAGTTAACAATACCTTTAAGGGACAAATAAATACCACGACTGAACCATGGTGCCCCTTGACGTATAAAACATTCAATTAACGAGTTGTTTTTGTGGACATAGATTTGTTAGGAACAGGTTTTATTTTGTTTTACATAGATCATGGCTTTTGTCAGTTTCCTTTAGGGTTCAGTGATTTGCTGGGCACAGCTGCATAGGCAGATGCAGAAATTGTTTCATCTTAGGCAATAATCAGAGTTTAGCATGTGTGAGCCAAGGTAAGTTTGGAGAAGTTAATTAAATCCTTTAAGGCTATGCCCAAATACAAAGAAGAGGTTGGAATTCAGAAAAACACAACCAGATAAAAATCAGTCCAGTACTTTCTATTTCCAATGTTTTTTTCTGTTTTTTTTTTTTTTTTTTTTTTCTGCTGCTAACTACAGTGTGTTAACTAATTTCCTAACACTCATATTCTAACTCCTACATTTCCAGGATAATGACTTTTGATTTTTTTGGCCCATTGACAGCAATATAGCAAACACAATTTTTCATGCTAGTTTCAGGATTAGCTGTTTCTTCCCCCCCCTTTCTCTTTTTTTTTTTTTTTTTTTTTCCAATTTGAAAGTCAGAGTTACAGAGAAAGGGAGAGAGATCTTCCATCTACTGGTTCACTCCCAAAATGGCCACTTGGTCAGGGCCAGTCAGGAGCCAGGAGTTTCATTCAGGTCTTCCACATGGACGCAGGGACCAAGCACTTAGGCCATCTTCTGCTGCCTTCCCAGGTGTGCTAGTAAAGGAGCTGGACCAGGACTAGAACAGCTAAGATTCCATATGAGTTGCCGGCCTCACAGGTGGCAGCCTTCCCCACTACATCATGGTGCAATCCCAGGACTAGATATTTTGTCTGTTTGCTCCTTTGATTCTTAGATCCAGTATGATCCACATATGTATACCTGGGGTTTTATTTTCATTTTAAACTAATTTATAAAGTAGGTGAGTAATTAGAGCTTTGAAAGTTTGGAAGAGAGCTTATAATATGAATTCCAAATATAATAATTGTGAGTCTCCCCACTATAGTCCAAGTTCCAGATATAGGGATTGTGTCTGTTTTTCTTATCCTCACATCTTTTTGTCCTGCATTGCAGTGAGGACTCAATAAATACTTGCTGAATTAATGTATCTTTTTTTTTTTTTGACAGGCAGAGTGGACAGTGAGAGAGAGAGACAGAAAGGTCTTCCTTTGCTGTTGGTTCACCCCCCAAATGGCCGCTATGGCCGGCGTGCTGCGCCAGTCCGAAGCCAGGAGCCAGGTGCTTCCTCCTGGTCTCCCATGGGGTGCAGGGCCCAAGCACTTGGGCCATCCTCCACTGCACTCCCTGGCCATAGCAGAGAGCTGGCCTGGAAGAGGGGCAACTGGGACAGAATCCGGCGCCCCGACCAGGACTGGAACCCGGTGTGCCCGCGCCACAGGCAGAGGATTAGCCTCTTAAGCCGCGGCGCCAGCTGAATTAATGTATCTTAAATAGCACTCTTACATATTGTTGATATATTATATTGTTTAATCATGATTTTGAAACATTCCTACAACAGACATGACTTCTTGATATTTTGCTAAGCATTGCTCTACTACTGTATGAAGAGCAAAAGGTGAACCAATATAGAAATCTTTTCTTTCCTCTTCTGAAATTAATTGAGGGAAATACCCAGAAGTCAAACATGAATTGGAGGACATGCTTAGGGGTGTGGCCACCATGAGTTACACAACTACCTTACTTATCAGTTATAGCCAGTTCCCCCACTGGGGAGCAAAGAGGAATGACATTATCTTTGATAAATGGATATCTGAGTAGGAGGAAACACCTGCTTGATTGAGAGGAATATCCTGAAAGGGTTGTGAAGGGATTTAAGGGATTGTGAAGACAGGGGAAATAAATGGGGCATTGTCAGTGCGTCTCAGTAATTGTTTACTGTGTTTTAGCCTAGAGATTAAAACAAAACAAAACAAAAAACCAAGGACCACTACCAGGAAGAGAAGCTCTCTGGATTCCTGACCCATTTCTTTATATCCAGGCATGAAATAAGAAGACTGTATTACCTGTAAAAAAGATTGCGTACCATGAAGCTGGTGCTTAGTGGTTAAAGCTGCCACCTGTCGTGCCGGCATTCCATATGAGCACCAGTTCAAGTTCAGTTGCTCCACTTTCCATCCAGATCCCTGTTAATGGGCCCGGGAAAGCAGCAAAGGATGGCCCAAGTGCTTGGATCCCTGCAGTCATGTAGGAGACCAAGAGGAATCTCCTAGCTCCTGGCTTCAGATCAGTTCAGCTTCAGATGTTTTGGCCATTTGAGGAGTAAACCAGTGAATGGAAGATCTCTCTTTTTCTCTGTAACTCTGATTTCCAATAAAATAAATAAATCTTTAAAAAATTCATATCATCAGGAAAATGTAAACAAGCTTTCTGAATTTTGATATCTGATCCTTTGACGTTACAGGAGCAATCTTTGTTTTTCTGCATTGCAGATGATAACCAACCTGTTCCCTATGTTCTACCGTCTCCTCCCATGATACTGAAGTTATCTGATAACCATAAGGAAGCAACACATACATCAGGTGTATATTTAGATTTTTACACATGTAATTTCATTTTACCTGGGAGGCAGTAGAGTGTAGCTGTGTAGTGAAAAGATTAAGACCCTGGGTTAAATGGTGCAATGAACATAATGTGTTTAATAATATTGTGCCTGATAGCATGCATGGTCAATGCTCTGTAAAATGCTAGACATTATTGTGATGGTAATTATTACTAGAGTAGAGTGGAAATTCTCATTGTCCACTTCACCCAAGTGCCACTTATTGCTGGGGTCACTTTCATGACAGTCTCTCCCTTGTCATGTAATGGAACTCCTCATTGTCATTGAGGAATCTTGAAAGAGTCTGTGTCGCTCCCCCTCTTCGTGGAGGAACGACAGAGGACCCTGCGCTGTTCTTTCGTCTGCTCGGCCCTCCCCGGGTTTGCTGCTGGTTCTTCCCGGGTTGGCTACTATCCCTTCCACCTCCGTGGAAGGGCAGTTCCCCCTGGCCACATTCCCCACTTCCGCAGGGGAGTGGCACACCGCCGGCCGGCTCTCTCGGGGGCTGCACAGGTGTTCCCCTTAGATGTTCCCCTTAGATGTTCCTGGTGCATGCCGTCTCTCTCCTCCTTTATAGTCCTCCTCCGCCAATCCTAACTCGGCTGCCCACACGCCAAGTACGCTGCTCTCCAATCAGGAGCAAGTCCTACAGTTTATTGGTTGAACTGGAGGCAGCTGTGTAAAAGCTGTTTTCTTCTCTCCCAGCGCCATATTGTGGGAGAGCAGATGCATAGAATAAGTCTTAATTCCAGTAACCTAGTCCAGTCCGAGCTGCTCCCCACAGATCCCCCTTTCTTTTTATTTTTTGGCGTTGATACGCGCCTGTCTTCGGTGTCCCGCGGCACACACTCTGCTCTACTTGCTAGAGTTGCCACAGGTTCTTACAAGTCCTATCAATCAGGCAAACCGAATCCGGGTCCTCTCTTCGCCATGTTGTGAGGAGGTTTTTAGGCGCTGATGCGTGCCTGTGTTCGGTGACCTGCGGCTCATACTCTGGTCGAGCCGCCTGCTGGTGCTTACCGCCTTAATCAGGCAGACCGAATCCAAGCTCTCTCATTGCCATGTTGTGGGGTGACTTATTGGTGTTGATAACGTGCCTGTCTTCGGTGACCTGCGGCGCATAAGCTGCTAGCCGCCCGCAGGTGCTCACTGCCTCCCTTAATCAGGCAGACCAAATCCAAGCTTTCTCATTGCCATGTTGTGGGGAGGCCTTTCTATTTCTCTATTTCTCTATGTCCGGGCATTCCTATTTCTCCCATTTTACTTCCATCTTCCAGCATTCCCATTTCTCTCATTTTACTTCTAAACTTCTGCTTCTCTTATCCCCGCGGCTTCCCAGCGCCGCCTGCCCCGAGGCTGCTTCTCGGCGGCTTCCCGGCTGAGCCGCTTCAGCCTGCTTCTCTCATCTGCGCGGCTTCGCGGCTCTGCGAGGCTCGGCTTTGCGCGCACACTCCGCGGTCTCCGCGCTAGCCCCGCGTTCCCTATCTACTTGTGCCCCGCACGCTCTCTCTGCGCGCGACAGCCTCCGCGAATCACACAGCGTCAGCTCACGTCTCAGCCACTAGTATTCAATCTAAGTTCCCCGGGCTAGCCTGGCGAATTCAACCCAGCTCACGTCTCCGCCCCACGATTTGGCTTCCCATCCTTTGCTCCCCGGGCTAATCAGACAGATCCCAATCTGGCTTACGTTTCTGCTTCTGGTTTCAACTTTTCACCCCCTATTCCCGGGCTAACTTGAGAATCCCAAAGTGGCTTTCGTCTCCGCCTCGGCCTGCCCCCCGCGGCTTCAATTTCCCTAACATTTTTCTCTACCCGGTATGTTTCCCCAAGCTTTCCTCCAACAATACTCCTCCCTCATTTCTCCTGGCCTCTCCCACAGTCCGCATCCGAGTCTGTTTGTTCTAGCTTTCACTTTCGCTTTCGACCTTAGAGATTTCTCCCAGCTTCCCCCCGTAGTCCGTATCTGAGTCTATGCCTAGGCTTTCAATAGCTTCTTCCGACACCTTTTTCGTCCGGCTTTTCCCTAGGCTGTTTGCTAGTCTCTCTCTCCGATATTTTCCACTTCTTCCCGTTTCTTCCCTCCTAAGTTTCCTATCCGTCCTAGGTTTCCTATCCGAGTCGCGGCACCATTATGTCGCTCCCCCTCTTCGTGGAGGAACGACACTAAACCCTGCCTGGGCTTCATATCCGAGTCACGGCACCATTATGTCGCTCCCTGTCTTCGTGGAGGAACGACACAGGACCCTGCGTTGTTCTTTCGTCTGCTCGGCCCTCCCCGGGTTTGCTGCTGGTTCTTCCCGGGTTGGCTGCTGACCCTTCCACCTCCGTGGAAGGGCGGTTCCCCCTGGCCACATTCCCCACTTCCGCAGGGGAGCGGCACACCGCCGGCCAGCTCTCTCGGGGGCTGCACAGGTGTTCCCCTTAGATGTTCCCCTTAGATGTTCCTGGTGCATGCCGTCTCTCTCCTCCTTTATAGTCCTCCTCCACCAATCCCAACTCTGCTACCCACAATGCCGAGCACGCTGCTCTCCTCCAATCAGGAGCAGGTCCCACAGTTTATTGGTTGAACTGGAGGCAGCTGTGCAGAAGCTGTTTCCCTTCTCAGGGCCATATTGTGGGAGAGCAGATGCATAGAATAAGTCTTAATTCCAGTAACCTAGTCCAGTCCGAGCTGCTCCCCACAAGTCTGGGCCTTCAATAATTGGCACCTGAATGCCCAGACAGTCTGCATGGAGCTCAGCTAACATTCAGACAGGTTCCTCTTGACCAGGGACCAAAATTCATTAATGTGGATGTGAATTGTTATTACAGCTCCCATGAGTGAACAGTAACGTTTCTTGGTGTTGGCCTGGCTTCCATGTGACTCCCAAACTGTTTGAGTCCCTGTCTGCTGACCCTACTCCTCTCTACTTGGTTGCTCAGATTCAATTTCCTCTATTCCCATCATTGGTGTCCACTGAAGACACAACACATCCCCAGCTCCCCCTCCCTCGTCACTTCTGCTGACTCACTTCTATTTCTCCAAGGAGATTTAGGTAGAATGACCTAGATCTTCTTCCAGCTCTTTCCAAGTTGATCATTTTGCCTGGAAAATGCTTCTTAAAAAAACATTCTAAAAAGTCTGTTCTGGGTACAAAGAATAAAACACACACGGATCATCTCTTAATTTTTCTTGTTTTACCCACTGTAAAAAATCCTACTTTTCCTTAGGGCGAAGGTGAAACCTTTTACTTACTGAGGGAAAATTCACTTCTAATTAACTAAGGGAAAGAAAAATGATATCCTAGACTGGTATTCCAGCTTACTCTTTTGCTGCATTATTATATTATTATTGAACTATAATATAATAATATCAGATAGTAACCCCATTTTACCAACAGAAGTGAACACACTGACCATGCGATTATCTTTCTCACAAAAATAGCCAAAATTAAGCCCAGGAATTCTGTCTTTTTAAAGATTTATTTATTTATTTGAAAGTCAGAGTTACAGAGAGACAGAAGGAGAGGCAGAGAGAGAGAGAGAGAGAGAGAGACAGAGAGACAGAGAGAGAGAGAGAGAGAGAGGTCTTCCACCTGCTGGTTCACTCCCCAATTGGATGCAATGGCCAGAGCTGCACCGATCCGAATCCAGGAGGCAGATGCTTCTTCCAGGTCTCCCAGATGGATGCAGGGGCCCAAGGACTTGGGCCATCCTCTGCTGCTTTCCCAGGCCATAATAGAGAGCTGGATTGGAAGTAGAGCAACCAGGACTTGAACCAGCACCCATATGGGATACTTGCACTGCAGGTGGCGACTTTACCCACTATGCCACAGCGCCAGCCCCAACAGGTTAACATCTTAACCTAGATGTTAAGACGCTCCATGTTCCATACTCTTCTCTTTCCCTTCCCTTCTCTCCTCTCCTCTCCACTTTTTTCCTTTTATTTCTAAGATTTGTTTATTTATTTGAGAGCAGAGTTAGAGAAAGCGAAAGAGAGAGGGAGAGAGACAGAGAGACCTTCCATCTGCTGGTTCACTACCCAAATGGCTGTAACAGTCAGGGCTGGGCCAGGCTGAAGCCAGGAGCCTGGAACTCCATCTGGGTCTCCACATGGGTGGCAGGGGACCAAGCACATAGGCCATCTTCTACTGCTTTCTAGGGACACTAGCAAGGAGCTGGAATGTTGTTGGAGAAGCCAGGATTTGAACTGGTGCTCATATGGGATACCTGCTGAGCCACCATGCCAGGGCCTGACCCAGTAGTTTTTCTGTGATAATCATTCTGCAGTATCTATAAGAATTTCAGCTACCTCTCCACAAAGACTCTGATGGCAGGAACAGTGTCTTACTTATAATTTGAATTCCCATGATAATGCAATGTATCTGAAGATAGAACTCATTTAACTACCAGAGACTGAACAGATATGATAGAAATGGGCTCCAGCAAATCTCAGCAAAGGTCTCATAGCTCTGTACTTTCAAGTCCTCCTTCGAGAGTCAATACACACACTCACCACTAGACTGAGTGGCGTACCTGTATACTCCTTTCTGAACTCTTTTTCTAACAAATTCAGTAATCAACACATTGAATACTTTCTCCAGTAATTTCTGTTTGTAGCTCCAATAAGATTACAGAAAAGTAGCAAGTATTTTCAGTGGCTCCCATTCAGGAACGAATATAGCTTCAGCTCTTTCATTAGTCTACCGTAGTCCTTCCTCTACTTAGGCAGACCACAACACAGACAGCTCATGGGCAAGAGAGAGAATGAGGGACAGGAGAGGTTAGAGGGAGAAACTGGGCTTTCTCTCTTCCTCAAATGATGCACTCATTGTCTCCTTCAGTCATAATTCCCACAAGTGGATGGCAGTGATAGCCTCAAGCAAGTAACGGATGGCGTGATGACTTGACATCAGAGACAGCAAGGCAAACAGGGAGAAAGCTGTTACAGGAAGGAAGGCTTTACTCATTGTGACATAAAACAAAGCTGAGTCAATGAAATTATGAGGAAGTACATGAATTTGAGAAACATTTAGGAGTTAGAAAGTAATAATTCACGTCCTGGCTGAATTCGTGTTTTTGGCTTATCCAACTGTGTGGTTTGTTGGTGATGGCATTCATTAAGAAAGTGAACATTGCATAGTATAATACTATGGAATCTTTGTTAATTTGAATTGCCTTACAATTTTTATATTTCTAGTGTTTCTGTTTTATTGTGATTGTGAAAACAAACTTTATATCACTTCATAAAAACCATGGTGACTATAATTAATAACAATATATTACATTCATCTATGAAAAAATGAGTAGATTTTAAATGTCCTCACTACAAAAATATATGTGAGGTGATTCATATGTTAATTAGCTTGATTTAGCCAATCCATAATGTATCTATGCAGCATATCAAAACATCATATTGTACACCAGAATATATGCAATTTTATGTATCAATTGAAAAATTAAAAAATGAAAAAGCTTCACTGAAGTAAGAGGAATTTATTTTCAAGATAAAAAACATGAATAATAAGGAGAACAAATCCCATAATTTATCATCCTTCTGTGAATTCCATACTTCACATACAATCATAATCAGGTAATCAATTTCAACTGTTAGACTTTTTGAATTTTCCTGGTGAGGCCCAGGTCACACTCTTCATGGGGACACTACCAAACATTCGCTGTTCTCTTCAACCCTGTGTTGGGAAACTCCGCATGACCACACTCAGCATCCTCTGATAGGCCAAGCACTTCCTCCTCCTCAGCACAAATAGAGGTGATCAGGTTGAGGTGCTCCCACCCTTTCTTCCCCTTCTCATTCTCTCTTCTGATCAACCGCCATTCTGTCAGTCTCTCAGCTGCTTTTTGAGTCCCTCCATCTGTTTTTCTCCCACTATCACTACCTTTTCTGAATCATCCTTTTCTACCTAGACTTTTGCAGAGTCCTGCTCGTCTCAAGGGGCTCCGGTTTCCTCCCCCTTTTTCTATCTTCCACATCAAAAACCAAGTATCTTTCACTACTGTGAATTTACTAATGATGCACATTTCATTGAAACTTCCTAATGGGTTAGCAGCCTCACTTTGCCACACGGCTGTCTTCTTGACTGTGCCTCTTGCTTGGATCTCTCTATTCTCTTCACATTGACTCAGTTCTTCTAATGCATGTTTCTTATCACCCCCATCTGTTTGCATATGCTGTCCCAATCTGATCCAAATTATGATTTGATTTTTGTTTGTTTTATTTGTAAATGTTGAGCCTTAAGGTTTTTTAATTAATATCACTCCCTTTGGGAAGCTGTCCTGATTCTAACTTTGCCCTGAATATGGATTTGCTTTACTTCTCCTGCATGTACATATTGCACACGTCACAGAAAACTCACAACGTTTTCTGTTTACTTTCAGGATGTCAGGCTGCACTGTACCAAGGCAAAGCCTGTTTCTTTTAGCTGTGTCTTGGTCTTCAACACAGGTCCCTCTGTGTAGAAGATGCTGTGTAATACAACAGGTGAGTATTGAATGTCAAAAGTTTGAAACAGTGTTATTCTTTAAACTTGAGCCATTTTCAATGTGCATGATAACTCTTTTAAGTTGAATGAAAAGCTTGCTTTTATCAATGTAAATATCCAATATTGATGTTTTGACACATTGGAATCTTGTTTTTACCCATACGGAGTACTTTGACAGATAACTAAAATTTGTTAATATAGACACAGTCTGCTGATTGCAGTTTTACCGACTTTTCCTAATCTATCACAAAATATTGAGATCCGAAACAGCCCGAATTTCTGAGACTCTGATTAAGGCAGATACAACTTCTAATTATATTTATTCATAAATATTACAATGTTTTAAAAGCAGACACCTTTCTACTCAACTGTCAATAGGTTCATCTTTTTAACCTGCAGAGCATGCTTCTCCAGGCTAAGTTAATTATCACTTGCTATCATAGTACTCAATAACATACCTGTTCTCTGGAGGTCATTTTGAATTCTATCATTACCTTTTGTCGAGTTTATCCTCTACAAGACTATCAGGTTAATCTTTGTGACATATTTTATTATTATAATGTTCCTATGAGGTAAAAAAGAGATTGACGAATTTCTTCTGTTTCCCAGGGAACTAGGTTTCAGAATTTAATGCAGGAGAAATTTTTTTTTTCACAAACAAACCCTTGAAGATTCTCCATTATTTAAGTCATATGTCTGCATATGTGGATAGGTACATAGTGTGGAGCTTTCCTGGAATGAAAAAAGGAAAGAGATACTTGTCTTCTGAACAAGATGGGCAGGGAGAGAGCCCGATGACCCCTGGTGCTTAAACAGTAAGGCAGGGGAGACTTGAGCAAGAGCCATGAGGTATGAAACTCTCATCCTTAACCATTTCATTGAGAAAATTTACTCTAGTTTATTTCTTTTGAGTGTCACAATTTACATTTTTAATTTGTTTTATATTGGATTCAATTGTGCTGTAGACATGCTGGAAATTGATGATATAAAACATACTACAAACTAATTCTTATTTGTATTAATACATCAATGATGATTTGGAAAATATGTCAATTAATAAACATAGATGAATACAATTTTAGATTTTCCTAAACCAGTTCTGTTTACCAAAATAAAATTTTCAATTGATTTAAAAATCAAATGTCATTCATTCCTAAGGTTTTCCATTTCACTCCTATATGGTGAACTTAAAAATAATCACAGATCCTTAAGACTGTGGTTCCATTTGATTATTGCTTAGAGCCCTTCCCTAAATTCCTGCTGAACTATGGTCTTTTTACTTTTTACTGGCTGAACTCTATTTCATGGAGTGTTGAGCTTTTGTCTATAATGTAAATTAAACATATATTCTCTCAAAAATCAAAAAATAAAGGAAGAAGAAAGAAAGAGTAAAGGAGAGAAGGAGGAAGAAGGGGAAGGAAAATATCACTATATTCTTAGAATTAATTCTGTGAACTACTTTGAATCTGTTCTCTTTGTATCCATATTGCCTTAATATGAGAATTGTGTTATAGTAAGCATCATGCATTTGCTGTGATCCTGAGAATTTAAGGTATTCATAAATTCCTTGAAAAAAGATTTTCTAGGCAATATGTGTTTGTGCAAACACCTGGCAAAATTTTAGATGTCCCATGTGGTAGTTGTGGATGAAATTCACTGGACTTGGTCGTCTAAGCATGGATGTTTGCCAAAGCTTTGATACAAGTGCTTACTCCCAAGAGCAGCCATCTTGCATCTTCCATTACCTAAAATGCATCCTGACATTCCAGCCTTGAGATCAGAAGCAACAGCCACCCAGAAAATGCCGCTATTTTTGTCTTTCACCTTTCTTTTAATATTTATTCATGGAGGCAATTTTTCCCTCTCATAACTGAAAATCCATGCAGATCCATGTATTTTCACCTCTGGGAAAAATTATAATGATTTTAAGATTCAAATATAGCTATAATTCTATAATTAAAGGTTACTGCTACCATATAATAAACTTTTAACTTGAGTTAAATTTAAATTCTTGCCCTGCTGAGACCTTCTACAGATAGAAAATTGAAGAAGGGGACTTGCTTCTGTTTCTCTCTTTCCAAGCCTTTGTTTCCAACCTTCTTCTCCCATTTTACTGAGTCTCTCAACTCCATAAAAGCTACGGTCTGTGGGCTGGCTGAGAGAGCAGAGCAGAACTGTCCTTGTATTCTGGATTTCACTGATGTTTTTCTGGTGTCTATGTTGGTTTTCAGAAGGTCTCACCGTTGTTAGGGACCTATGATGTCTATTTCCTTCATTCATATGTTGCTGAATATTTCTCGGTGGTTCACAGTTTATGATTGCTTATAGTCCTTGGAATTTTGTGATTTTCTTACAGGCTCTCTTGTTGGAGTCCTTTTGCCCTTGTGTTCCAAATATGGACTCAAATTCTCTGTGGCTCCTTTCATCAAGATGCAGAACCCAGTTACCTATCACATGAATCTGACTTGGCCTTGTGGCTTGCTCTGATGTAATACAAAAGTGCTGGAATTGTGTTATGAATACCAGGATTCTGTCCAATCATGTGAAGAAGACAAAAATGAAAGAAACTTGGATATACAGGGAGGCATCCCAACTACTTCAGTCAGTGAATGAAGACATTTTATGCTGTTCTGTCCCATCCAAGTTGCCAGTTGACTGAGCAACACTCAAGAATGAGCTCAAGTGTGGGTGTCATAAGAACTGCCCAGTAAGTCCAAAGACCTGAGAGAAAATAGGCTGTTCTTTTAAGCCACATTTTTATATCAAAGATTTACCTTACTGGCTGACTTTATTGGTTAGCACTCAAGAACTCCATGGCCCTGTGTGATCCACAAGACTACTCACGCCTGCTTTATTCTAAAAAACTATGTGTGTGCAGCTGATTTCTATGCAGTTTCCAGAGGGGGAAGTTTTCCCTTTCTGTTTTTGGTTCCTTAGGCTGGACCCTGGCACAAACCCATATCCTTCCAAGGATTGAGGCATGCCTGAGTCTCCCTGGAGTTCTTGTGGAAACTTCCATAGATAGATTTGAGGGAATATTGCCCCATGTCTACCTCTTCATTTTCAAAGAATCCCTCTCAAATTTTCTTTTGTTCCCATGTAGATAAAGGATATAATATTGCATATGCGACTTTTAGCTGCTGGTCTACAATCCCTCATATGCAATTCTTTAAGGAAATAGAACAGAATGAACAGAATATATATATGTATAGCAATCATATAATAATTATGCATACATATATAATTATTTGGCAACAATGTCATGAGACAGACATAAAATGAGGCGTTTTGTAGCCTTTAGAAATCTTTAATTGTCCCACTTCCTAGGAATATGTATGCATGCATTTTGTTGGAGAATCTCAATATATAACATTTACCAGTGGCATATAATATGTGGAATAAAAATTGGAATTATTAAATACCTATTTCCCAAAAATATACCAGAAAAAGGACTCTACAGCTCTTTAATGGACCCTTTTACTTTTATTTATTTTTTTTAAGTTTTTTATTCAAGTTATACAAGTTTCATGTATTTCATATATACAGATTTAGAAACACAGTGATATTTCCCACTTTACCCTTCCTCCTGCCAATTTCCAACCATTCTTTCTCCTTCCTCTCCCATTCCCACTACAAATTTTTACAAAGATATATTTTCAGTTGACTTATTGATTGTAAAGTAAATGCTACACTAACTAAATGAGTTCAACAAATAGTATGAAGAAAAAAAAAACATATTCCTCAACAGAAGAGACAAGGGTTGCAAACACTCAATGACTCTCAAAATGTCCAATTCACTCCAGTACATTACATTTTAGATACTCATTTAGTTACCTCAGATCAGTGAAAACATGTGGTGTCTTTTGGGAATTGCTTATTTCACTAAATGTAATGATTTCCATTTGCATCCATTTTGTTGTAAAACATAGAATTTCATATCTTTTTAGAGTTGAGTAGTACTCCATAGTGTATATATATCATACTTTCCTTATGCATTCAGCAATTGCTGGACATTTGGGTTGATTCCATATCTTAGTTATTGTGAATTGTGCTGCAGTGAACATAGGGGTACAGATAACTCTTTCAGATGCTGATTTCTTTTGGTTTGTGTTAATTTCCAGGAGTAAGATGGCTGGGTCATATGGTAGATCTATTTTCAGATTTCTGAGGAATCTCCATACTGTCTTTCATAATGGTTGTGCTATCTTACATTCCCACCAGCAGTGCATTAAGGTACATTCTACCCCCATCCTTGCCAGCATGTATTTCTTTTTGATTTTTGGATGTTAGCCATTCTAACTGGGGTGACATGATGCTTCATTGTGGTTTTGATTTTTCATTTCTCTGAGCATTTTTTCAAGAGTCTATTGGCCATTTGAATTTCCTCACTTGAAAACTTTCTGTTCAAGTCCTTCACCCATTTCTTACTGGATTGTATTTTTATTGTTGAATTTATAGAGCTCTTTATACAATCTGGATATTAACCCTTTCTAAGTCTCATAGTTTGCAGATGTTCTCTAATAATTTTATGGTATCAGATCATAGATTCAGGTCCTTGATCCATTTTGCATGCATTTTTTGTGTAGATGAAGGTAGGGAGCTAGTTTCACACGTTAGCATGTAGAGATCCAATTGTCCCAGCACCATTTGTTGAAGAGACTGTCCTTGCTCCAGGGATTGATTTTAGCTCCCTTGTCAAAGATAAGTTGGCTATAGATGCATAGATTGATTTCTATAGTTTCTATTCTGCTCCATCAGTATAAGCATCTGTTTTTGTGCCAGTACCAGGCTGTTTTGAGTATAACTGTCCTGCAGTATGTCTTGAAATCAGGTATTGGATGCTTCTGGCTTTGTTTTTGTTGTGTAAGATTGCTTTAGCTATTCAGGGTCTCTTGTATTTCCCTAAGAATTTTAGCATCACTTTTTATTGATCTGAGAAGAATGTCATTGGTTATTTTGATTGCTATTGCATTGAATCTGTAAATTGTTTTCAGTAGTATGGACATTTTGACGTTATTGATTCTTCCAGTACAGGAACATGGAAGATTTTTCCATTTTTGTGTCTTCTATTTCTTTAATGTTTTTCAATTTTCTTCATAGAGATCTTTAACATTCTTGGATAAATTTTTTCCAAGTATCTAATTTTTTTGTACTATTGTGGATGTGCTTGATCTTAAAAATTCTTTCTCAGACGTGGTATTGTCTTTATATACAAAAGCTATTGATTTTGGTGAGTTGATTCTATATCCTGCCACTTTACCAAATTCTTTAATGAGTGCTAATAGTCTCTCAGTGGAATCTTTTGGATCTGCTGTATATAGATTCATGTCATCTGCCAATAGGGATAATTTGACTTCCTCCTTTCCAATTTGTATCCCTTTGATTTCTTTTTCTTGCCTAATGGCTCTGGCTAAAACTTCCAGGATTATATTAAATAACAATGGTGAGAGTGGTCATCTTTGTCTGGTTTCAGATCTTAGGAAGAATACTTCCAGGTTTTCCCTATTCAATAGGATGCTGGTTGTGGGTTTGTCATAAATTGTCTTGATTTTGTTGAAGAATGTCCCTTCTGTGCCTAATTTGCTTAAGGTATTTATCATGAAAGAATGTTGCATTTTATGAAATGCTTTCTTTGCATCTATCAAGATGAATAATCATATGCATATGCAAAAACCATATGGTTTTTGTTCTTCAGTATGTTAATGTGATGTATCACATTTATTGATTGTGAATGTTGAACCATCCCTTCATACCAGGGATAAATCCCACTTGGTCTGGGTGAATAATCTTTCTGATGTGTTGTGGGATTTAATTAGCTACTATTTTGTTGAAGAGTTTTGAATCTATGCTCAGCAGGGATATTGAACTATAGTTTTCTTTCTCTGTTTTATCTTTTTCTGGTTTTTAAAATTAAGGTGATGCTGGCCTCATAGAAAGAGTTTGAGAGGATTCTCTTTCAATTATTTTGAATAGCTTGAGAAGGATTGGAACTAGTTCTTTAAATGTTTGCTAAAATTCAGCAGTGAAGATGTCCAGTCCTGGACTTTTCTTTTTTGGGAAGGTCTTTATTACTGATTCAACATCCAACTTGGTTATTGTTCTGTTTAGGTTATCTATGTCTTAATGGCTCAATTTATGTAGGTTGTTTGTATCCAGGAATCTTTCCCTTTCTTCTAGGTTTCCCAGTTTGTTGGCATACAGCTCTTGGAAGTAATTCCTGATGATTCTTTTTATTTCTGTGATATCTGTTGTTTCATTTCCTTTTTAATCTCTGATTTTATTGAGTCGGGTCTTCTCACCCCCACCTTGTTTATCTAGTTGGGCCAATGGTGTACCAATTTTGACTATTATGTATTGTGGTGAATATCTTTTCTGGTCATGCCTGTTAAGAGTTCCATGTGCTTCCTGTAGTTGGATGTCCTTTTCTATCTCTAAATTGGAAATGTTTTCTGTAATTATTTCACTACCTAAGCCTTCTAATCCATTCTCTCTTTATAGACCCTCAAGAACTTCCAAGACCCATATGTTGGGTCAGTTAATAGTATCCCATAAATCCTCAACACTGAGTTTAAGTTTTCTAATTTCTTCTTTGTGTGTGTGTGTGTGTGTGTGTGTGTGTGTGTTTGGTCTGACTGAAAGATTTCCAAAGATTTGTATTTTTGTTGTAGTTTGGATATTCTTTCTTCTTCTTCACTAAGTCTGTTAAGGCTTTCTACCACACTTTTTAATTTGATTTATTGAATTATTCATTTCTAATATTTCAGTTTGATTTCTCTTTAAAATCTGAAGTTCTTGGGAAAACTTGTCACTCATATCATGTATGGTTTTCTTTCATTCATGGATTTGCTTCTAATTGCTTTTGAGTAATCCTATGATTAATTTTTTAAATTCCATTTTTGGAATTTCATCAATCTTTTTTTTAAAGATTTATTTATTTATTTGAAAGTCAGAGTTACACATAGAGAGAGAAGGAGAAGTAGAGAGAGGTCGTCCATCTGCTGGTTCACTCCCCAACTGGCCGCCATAGCCAGAGCTGTGCCGATCCAAAGCCAGGAGCCAGGAGCTTCTTCCGGGTCTCCCATGTGGGTGCAGGGGCCAAAAGACTTGGGCCATCTTCGACTGCTTTCCCATGCCATATCAGAGAGCAGGATTGTAAGTGGAGCAGCTGGGACTCAAATCGGTGTCCATATGGGATGCTGGCACTGCAGGGGGCAGCTTTACCACAACACCGGCCCCTCATCAATCTTTTCATTTTCACGTTCTAATGTTGAAATGTTTTTGTGTTCTTTTGGGATGGTGATGAGCTATGGTATACTCCTTATTCTTGTTTCTTGAATTTCTGCATTTATTTTTAGGCATTTGTGGAGTTAATTGTTGATTTTTTCCTCCTGTGGCCTTTAATTTTGAGCTACACATCTGTGGCTTAGTGGAATATCTGCACTTTCAATGAATACCAACAGTTGTATACTAGATGTTGCCAAGGAGCTCTGGTCAGTGCTCCAGTGTGGTGTAAGTATCCAAGATAACCTCCAAGTTGGGGGTGGTAGGTCTCCTTTTGTTAGCAGAAAGAGGGAATAATCAACTCTGTTGGTGTGATCACCCCTTCACTTCCTCTCCTCCAAGCTGAGCAATGTTGGGTGTTAGCCCATGGTGGGTTCAATACTCATCTGCACAAATGCCTTGTGCAGTACTCACACTGAGCATGTTTCAAGCTGCAATGAGCAGTCCCAGGCAACCAAGGAGCTCATAACATGTGGAGCATAACCCAGCTATACCCTGCACCTTCTCATATAGCCACCAAGTCCCCCCAGGGTTACAGCACACAAGGCTCACACAGCCACTGGATGTCAAGGTTTGGCTGCTCTGTCCTACCAGCCTGTCCAGTCTACAGAGAAGCAGATGTTCCCTGAGGCAGCTCTGCCTAGGTGGCTTGAGCATGTGGTATGTCGGGTGGCTGGGGGCGCCTCACAGTCCTACATAGGTGCCCAGCCACCTGTCAGTCCTGCCAGACAGGCTCAAAGTCAGTGGAGACAGTGGATTTTTCCCTCCACTAGAATCTCTGAATCACACCTCTATACAAGAGCCACTGACTTAATGTTGTCTTCTTCCTTCCACTGCCACAAGTACACTGAAATGATGCATTCTGTCTCAGCCAGTTGCTTTGGATGCACAGAAAGTCTTCCATAGCTGCTGCCCAAGCCCAAAATCGTGCCTTCCTTTTCAGCTGGTTAGCAGTTATGGGGAGTATTGGGTGAGGTAAACACATCCGCTTTACTTCCACTGGGTCCCCAGGTAACCACAAAAGTAACTGCTAGCCCATAGGAGTCCAGTCCAGACTCATACCACGCTCTCCCACAGGCTTTATCACTATGGGTTGCTGCAGTCTGATCTCACTCCATCTCCAAGCTGTTTCGTGCTCAGCAGCTCTCAGCTACTGCAGTTGTGTGTTGTGTTCATGTTCCTGCTCACATTTGAACCTTCCACAAAGTTCCACAGCGTTCCTCTTCCTTTCGTAGAATTTCCAGTGTGGTTTTCTCTCTAATTCTCCCCTAATAGTGTGCCTGCTACACTTTTTTTCCCCTAGCCCTAATCCACCAAGTTGGCATTGCCTACTTTTCTTTTTTAACATTTGCATTTTGACTGAGTACTTCATTTTGGTGTCTGATATCTTCTGCCTTAGCATTTAAATAAAATGTTTGTTTTAGCAATTGTTCCATATAGATTAACATTTTTTCTCCCAATCAGGAGAACTGAATTTATACTTCATTTATAAGAGTTACCATGCATAAATCAGGATGCACAAGAGCCAGTCTCACTAGACATTGTGAACAAATAATTTATGTTCTCAAAGAAATTATGGTTCACAGGCAAGCTTTGTGGCATAGTGGGTAAAGACACCTGCGACGCCTGCATCCCACATGGGCTTCAGTTCATGTTTTAGCTGCTCCGCTTCAACTTCAGCTCCCTGCAGGCGACCTAGGAAAAGCAGAACATGGACCAAGTGTTTGGGCTCCTGCTACCCACATGGGAGATCCAGATGAAGCTCCTGCCTCCTGGTTTTGATCAGGGGTTGTGGCCATCTGGGGTAGTGAACTGGTGGATAGAAGATCTCTCTCTCTCTTCCTCCCTGTTTCTCTATGTAATTCTGACTTTCAAAATAAATAAATCTTATTTTTTATATTTTTAAGAAACGTTTTAGGAAGCCAGTAAACTTTGTGTGTCCTTTACATTGTAGCCGATTTTTCTGCTACATATTAAATTGAAATTGTTAGTTGAAACAATCAGTCCTCTCAGTTTATAATGGATCTAAGTCAGTGGGCACAACTCTATTTAACAGACCTGCTCAGAGCACAAGTAGAAGTGGTGAAGTCAAAGAATGAAGCAGCTCATGAAAGACTCAGAGTTCTCAAATGCATTTTTTCTAGTGGATTTCTTTTTTTACATGTTTTAAATAATGAAATTCATGATTTTCCTTGAAAAAATAATTGACACTGCTAGTATGAAGAATATGCAAAATTTCAAATTTTATATAGATATTTAATGTAAGATAAAATATTTATTTTATTTATTTGAAATTGAGAGAGAGAGAGAGAGAGTGAGAGAGAGAGAGAGAGCTCCCAGCTACTGTTTCATTTCCCTGTGCCCACAACAGCCAGGGCTGTGCCAGGCCATATCCAGGATTCTAGAACTCAATCTGAATTTCCCACATGGGTTACAGGGACTCAACTACTTGATCCATCATCTGTCGCCATCCAGAGTGTCCATTACAGGAAACTGAAATTAAATATAGGCACTCACTCCCATAAGGGATGTAGGCATTATATACCCAGTCTTTTTTTTTTTAAACTGAACATTTATTTAATTTGTTTGAAAGGGAGGATGATGGGCAGAGTGAGTGAGTGAGAGAGAGAGAGAGAGAGAGAGAGAGAAACCATTGCAAGTTAGCATTGATAGACACAGCTAACATCTTATTTCAGGAACTCACTTTCTGTTCTAGTTTACTACTTGAAGTTATCATCCTAATGTTATATAAAAGTAATAGTGTAGCTATGTTTTATTTTTGTCAGAACTTCTCACTGTAGCTTACAAATATTTTTACTTCAGCATTTTCCACATATTTTACAATTTTTTTTATTTAATGAGCATAAATTTCCAAAGTACAGCTTATGGATTAAAATAGCTTCCTCCCCCCCCCCATAACTTCCCTCCCACCCACAACACTCCCCTCTCCCACTCCCTCTCCCCTTACATTCACATCAAGATTAATTTTCAATTATCTTTATATACAGAAGATCAATTTAGCGTATATTAAATAAAGATTTCCGCATTTTGCTCCCACACAGAAACACAAAGTGTAAAATACTATTTGAGTACTAGTTATAGCATTAATTAAACACCTAAGAGTAATTGTGTATTAATTACAGAGTTCAACCAATAGTTTTAAGTAGAATATAAAACGCAACTTTTGTATTGTTGTGGCTCCCCCCCTCCAACCTCCCTCCCTCCCGTGGCCCTCCCCTCTCCCACTCCCTCTCCCATCCCGCCCTTCATCACATTTCATTTTCAATTACCTTCATATACTGAAGATCAACTTAGTATATACTAAGCAGGGATTTCAACAGGCTGCACTCACACAACCGAACCAGGTATAGGGTATTGTTCGACTAGTAGCGTTGTTCTTGAGTTTCATAGTTAAACACATTAAGGACAGAGATCCTACGTGGGGAGCATGAACCCAGTGACTCCCGTTGTTGATTTAACAATTGGCACTCTTATTTATGATGTCAGCAATCACCCGAGACTCTTGCTATGAGCTGTCTAGGCTATGGAAGCCCCTTGAGTTCACCAACTCTGAATTTGTTTAGTCAAGGCCGTATCACAGTGGAGGTTCCTTCCTCCCTTCAGAGAAAGGCGGCGCCTCTCTCCTTGATGGCCTGATCCTTCTGCTGGGGTCTTGTTCACCAAGATCTTTCATTTAGATTTTTTTTTTTTTTGCCACCGTGTCATGGCTTTCCATGCCTGTGAGACTCTCATGGACCTTTTAGTCAGATCCGAATGTCCCAAGGGTTGATTGTGAGGCAGGAGTTTTGGGCGTTTGCCATTCTATGAGTCTGCTGTGTGTCCTGCTTCCCCCGCAGGATCATTCTCTCCCTTTTGATTCTATCCTTCATTATTTGCTTACACTGGTCTTATTTGTGTAATCTCTTTAACACTTACCCTATCTTTTTGATTGGTTGTGTATTTATACTTATCACTTTACCAAGTGTGCTGGCATTGGTACCTGCCTCCTTGGTAAGGTTGAGTTGAAATCCCCTGGCACATTTCTAGTTTCACCATTGGAGGTAGGTCTGAGTGAGTATGTGCCGTCCTATATATCTCCTCCCTCTCTTATTCCCACTCCTATGTTTCACAGAGATCAATTTTCTGTTAATTTTTAAACGCTTAAGAATGGTTGTGCTTTGATTGCAGAGTTCAACCAGTGGTCTTGTGTAGAGCAAACCGAGCAACAACAACAACAACAACAATACTAAAGGAACAAAATAGTAAGTTGTTCCTCAACAGTCTAGACAAGGGCTGTTCATGTCATTGTCTCTCATAGTGTCCATTTCACTTCAATGGGTATCATTTTAGGTGCTCATTTAGT